GATTTACGCTATTGTTGTTGCTGCTGCAATTTTTGTTGCTGTTAGTGGGGAAACTGTTGTTGACGTTGTTGTTGTTGTTACAATAGCCAAAGCCATTAAGATTGAGTCCAGGTGTTAATGCATTGGATGAGATGAGAATAGAATGATTGGTTATTGCATTGAAATCTGTATTTTTTAAATTTTTACCTGGAGACTGATGACGATGACTCATAGCACCGTGTAAGTTACTTAGATAGAAATCATGAATATTGCCACCGAAATTACCGCAGAATTTGCTACTACTAAAATCAGTACCATTGTTGTTATCAGTGCTATGTTCAGGTGCATTAAGATGGCTACTTTTCATCTGTTTTCTACTAACTGTTGAATGTTTTTGACTACCGTCAGGCAAATTTTTTAGAGTTAAGTGGTCAGCTTGACTAGCATTCATGAAAGCCAGGTGTAATACATCAGAAGAACTTATATTTTTTGCCATGTTGTTGACGCTATTATGAATGTTATTGTTAAAAGCATTGGGACTGCTGACAACATTCTTCTTAGAATTATTTTTAGTAGCAGATTTATTGCCATCTAGGCCATCGACTTTGTTACCTTTACGAGATTTGGTTGGAGTTGAGAACGAGTTAGGTTTGAAATCAGTGTAGTTGGATGAGGCGTCGGGTTCAGAGTTCATGCTGACATCGTGCAGGTTCATGCCTCTGTTTGGTTTGTTGGCCTTCCTGCTGCATTTGTGGCGTTTGTAGTGCTCCTTACGCGTGAACTTGCGTCGACATACGAAACATTCATGGCTGAATATGCCCTGTTCGTGTGTGTGTGTGCGCGCGCGTGTGTGGATACGGTGAGTTCATTTGAATGAAAGTGAAATATTTAGAAAGATGGCTTTGTTAACTTTGAGTTGATATACATAATTGTTGGTTGTAAATTTGAATATATTTTAAAAAATTAAAGCTACTACATAACAAAATGCACAGCAACACAAACATCTTAACAAACAAATGAATAGAAGAAAAAGCTAACATCATGTATCTTCATATGCCTTCTATAACTGGATCTATAATTGAATGGCTTCTGGCAGATGGTGCAGAACTGTTTTTCTTCCTCTTTCAGACATGGCTGTCTGCTATCCGGCGGATCTTCTGGCATCACAACAACAGTATTTGGTGAAATTTCATCATCGTTGATTGGTTGGTTGGCAGTGATGAGTGGATTTTCAGGAGCAATGATGATAGGAGGGGGTAGAGATTGTGGACTGAATGGTTCTCTAGGTCTGCTAAGTACCTCCCTCAGTAATGATTTCACTGTTTCTTTGCTGTTATGATGTTGTTGTTGTTGGTGGTGCTGTTGTTGTTGTTTGCTCGGAGAAGAGATTGGATTGTTGTTTACTGTGGTCATTTTATTGGCACTAAGTCTGCTTTGATTGGTGCTATTGTGACTAGAATTATTATTACAGCTACCATTGTTGTTGTTGATGGTATTGTTGTGGTATCCACTATGCAAGCTGCTGTAATTCATGTCTCTCACTTTGAGATCTGAAACTTTACAATCAACAACAGATCTTTTGCTGTGCTTGACCTCAAGGTGTGTAGAAATGCTTTTATCATTATTATTTGAAAAGTCTAGTGGTTCATTAGGCACATCCTGATGCAAGTTAGGAAAAAAATTAATAGGCAATCTTGGATCGTGTAAACTAAAAACTGGTCCCATGCCACCTCCAAACAGAGCGCTTACATTAAAATTCTCCCAATTCAGTTGATAAGTCGATAACTTTGACTCTGAATAAGATAAGGGTTTGGCCATTTCAAAAGGACTTTTTTTTTCTCTAACTGGAGTTACTGGGATATCATTGATTACTTTTTGTATCGTTGGTTTTTCTTCTGGGGTCACTGGAACAAGTTTTGTAGGTTGAATCGTGGAGCTTACATTTTCATTGATTGTTGGCAACTGCTCGTTTTGACTATCAAATAACTTTTTTGTAACTTTTTCTAGCCACACTTTTTTTGGACTGTTGTATTTGTCTAGACAACAGGATAAATACAATGAGCATAATAAAATAAATTATTAATTAACGATTGAGAAACTTTTTATAATTAATTCAACAAAATTATAAAATGAATAATTATAAAATTTAACAAATTATTTTAAAATGTAACCTGGTGAAAATCTTCCATGAATTTTATACTGTGAAACTTTCAAGTCTAGCCAGAGGAAGAACTGACCAAGATGTTGAGGATCACCATTCCTAACCAGCGAGGTGAAGGCATCCTGCATGCAGGCCAGATCCATTGGGGAATTAGTGCTGATAACTTTGTGCATATTTTTTCTAATTAAATTCTTCTCCTTTTTTAAAATTTAATTTTGATACACTTTTTTTTTAAATGGTGATGATCAAGCAAGTATCAGTCATTCTTCATTTGTTGTTTGTTCGTTGTTACCTTACCCTTACCTCATCGCCCAAAACGTCGACAATTGATGGTGAATTAAATGGTGGAATGTTTACTTTTAATCATTCGGTTTTGGTGCTGTTTGCCAATTTGTATTTTGCCTTGCCAGCTTCTTCAAAAAGTTCTTCAAAAAGAGTGTTTAGTTTCAATTTCAACCGCCACTTCCTCGCCAAATAAACGTTGATTTTTCACAATTACAGAAAGAGATTTTGAACAAAAAACGCGCATAATCACATAATCACGACGTACATATTGATACTCACATCTTCATCTTCTTCGTTTTTTTCTGCTTTGTGATCTTAACAAAGAAAAATGGTTTCACTAAAACCTCAAAGTTCAACGATGGAACTAAGATTAACTTTTAGCGAATCATAAAATCACAGATTGTATCAAAAATGCCTCAAAGACGTGCAATTTAACCAAAGATGCAACACGTACAACTACGAAAAATGATGAAATTAAACAATAAATAAACTATAAAAGGCGAAACAACAATTCATCTTAGTCGGGAATCATTTTCAAAACACAAGCACGGACGCACGCAAGCCAAACATATAGTTATAGCATATAACTGATATATTCATACATCTAGACATGCTATTGTATACACACACACACACACACACACACACATATATATATATATATATATATATATAATGTATAAATCCATACAGACCCGTATATACCCATATATACACGGAGAGAACTGAAAAACGCATGTGAGGTTATAGGTACTGTATACTCTACTATAAAATGAATGGCTTGGCAAGCAATATCATCCAGCAACTCTCTCACTTTCACCACCATCTTTCTCTCCTTTTCTCTCTCTCTCTCTCTTCATCTTTCTCTCCTTTTTTCAACCCAGAAACCTTTGTTCATTGTTACAGTGTGTTTGTGTGCGTGTGTGAATAATAATGAACACGCGAATCTGCATGTGCCTATACAATGCATACAGATGTATGTATGTATATATGTATGTATGTAATTTTGTATGTATTTATGTATGTGCGTATGTATAAATGTGTGTATGTATTAAAACGTGTGCGTACGTGTGTTTCGTTTCATTGTCACCCTTATGTTCACACAGTCACAACACAATACATACAGTCACTCTCTAGATTCTAGGCACCACAGTCTATGTTACATATTACAACACTACATTACATGTATGTTCGTTTTGTTATTCTTGATTCGTCATCTCTATTATGGTATCCCTCTCACTCTTTCTCTACTTGAATGTTTCTCTCTCTCTCTCTCCCTCTCTCTCCCTCTCTCTCCCTCTCTCTCTCTCTCTCTCTCTCTCATTCAATTTCTTTCTCCGCTTGTCTCTCCTACGCACGCAAAAACGCAATCCTCAATTTTTAGAAAGCAAAAAATTGAAATATAGTAGGCCATTTTTTACGAATCTACTTACAAAACAATACAATCTTATATATAAGAAACATATGTATGTAGTACGTAAGTGTGTTGTAAACGTGTATGTGTGTGTATGTATGCATTTGTGTGTGTGTGGAGTGTGTGTGTGGAGTGTGTGTAATATGTGTGTGTATAGTAAATGTTATAAGTGAAATTTGATAACGAAGCAATAAACACATCTGCATCGATAACATCTCCATCGAGCAGGTAACAGAGAATTAAAATTTAGCTAGCCTAATAAATAATAAAATCAATGGCGTACGTGAGTACATACATACAACATTGTATGTATATACAAAGATATATATACAAACTTTGTATACATACAATAATTTGTATGTATACGAACTATTGTATGTATGTTTTTATTCTATATACAAGGGTACCATTAAAAATACAACGTAAAATACACAAGATGTATTGTATTGTGTATATATATATATATATATATATATATACAGATATTGGCATTCGGATGAAAGCTGGAAAGACAACAGAACATAGAGCATCGTGCGAGTACCACACACATAAATTTGGAATGAAATGTGTGTGAGGTTAGCTTTAGCACACTGAGACCATCTGCTACATCATTTATACATGTACGTGTGGTAAGTTGGTGACACTGACCTTGACCTTTGGCAGAGACCTAAAATTTGGGGGCATTTAGAAGTCAGGGAAGCATCACTTTGGACTATTTGTTGTACCAGACACAAAGATTTATTTCGGCGTTAATTAAGGCGTATTTTTAGTTGGTTTATAATTGCTTATTTATTATAATTATCCTTCATCTATCCATCCATCCATCCATTCATTCATTCATTCAGGTTGTGATATTGAGCGAGGAAAATAATCAAAAATTGAATAAAAATATGAATCTGTATATACATAAATACAAAGACGGATATATTTAAAACGAAAGAGAAAGAGAGAGATGGATAGATAGATAGAGAGAGAAAGAGAGAGAGAGAGAGCGAGAGAGAGAGAGAGAGAGAGAGAGAACAGAGTGGTGGACCACACGAAACGAACGAACGTCACTCCTTTTATTATGAGTAATAGAAAAAGTTCGTGACGACGACGAAGCTGATGATGAAGATGACGATAAATTAGATGAAGAGGAGGAGGATGACGACGATGAAGGCGACAACAATAATTGTATCACTGATCATTATTCGTATTATTATTATTATAATAATATTATAATTATAGTTATAATTTTCGTGACGATGAGGTGAGAGTGGTAGAGATGATAACGAAAACCAACTAAATCAATAACGACAATGATGCTAATCATAAAGAAGATGATGACGACGACGACGACGATGTTTGGTTTCCAAACAACATCAACAACTGCAGCAACAACAAACAAATCATCCAACCAACAAACCAACCAATAGCTGGTTAGCCAGCTGACTGACTGGCTGGCTGGCTGGTTTGTTGTTATCTACGTTGCAGGTTGTTGTGATGCGTTGTTGTTCGGATGTGATGTGTTTGTCGTCTTGATGTGATGTTGTTGTTGTTGTGTTTATACATTACGAAAACGTATGTATGCCTCTGTGTGTGTGTGTGTATGTATGCATTTGTGTATGTATGTACGTATTTATGTATGTATGCATTTATGTATGTATGTATGTATGCATGCATGTATGTATGCATGTGTGTATGTATGTATGCTGAAAGAATTGCACTAAAACATGGAAATTTGGTCTTTTCCTAGGTTGGCTGGCCTAAAAGTTCTGCAGTGGATCGATTTATTTTCAGTTCCTCTATGTCCGCTTTCTTCCGTTTCGTCTGAATGAATGAATGTGCGAATGAATGAATGTGTGAATGAATGAATGTGTGAATGAATGAATGTGTGAATGAATGAATAATAAATGTGTGAACGAATGAATAAATAAATGAATGAATGAATGGATGAACAGTGAATTAGTGAATAATGGTTGAATGAATGAAAACCTGGTAATGTATATCTGAATTAATGGATATGTGAACGAACGAATGGGCAGATAAATGATTGAATGGATGGATAAAAAAAATAAAAGATGATAAAGTGAATGGATGAATGAACGAAAGAATATATAGTTAGAAAAAAAAGAAATTCTAAACAGATAAGTGAATGGATATGCGGATGAATGAATGAATGAATGAATGAATGAATGAATGAATGAATGAAAAACCCAATGAACAAATAATCAAACATCTAAATGACTGTATAGTCATAATTGAATGAGGGGAAGTATTTAAAGAGAACAAATGAATGAGAAAATTAAAGAATGAATGAACAGATGAACAAGTGAATGAACAAATGAGTGAACGAACAAAACGAAGTTTTTGAGATGCGTTATGCGATGTTCTTTATATTTAAGATATACTCTTTACCTTGTACATCTAAATCAAATTATATTTCTAGTTAGTTAAATTAATATGAATTAATCAAATAATTAATTAATGTAATTAATTTGTTTTATTACATAAATAACATTTTAAAAAATAAAATATATAAAGATGGTGAATAAATTTTCATCCTTACTGTCCCAAGTTTGAGCCCTGGCTTAATTTGCGTGGTTTCAAACAGTTAGTTAGTCATAGTATATGGATGGTAAGAAATAAGAACGAACGAACGAATGAGCAAACAAATGAACGAACGAATGAGCAAACAAATGAACGAACGAACGAACGAACGAACTAATAATTGAGTGAATGAATGAACCATTTACTGAAGGTACAAAAGAACGAATAAACAAACAAACATATCAACATCTGATCTGAGTGAATTGTAAATTACAACAACAACACACGTTTAGACGACATTTTCCCCGAGATCGGGGGTTGCCGTTTGGCTACCTATGATGAAACCGAAATACCCCTCGACGCCATCCACATCTGTCACTCGCCTCAGTATCACGCAACCCCGCTTTCACCCTGTCCTTCTCCACCTGCTCTCTCCATCCCAATCGCGGACGACCCCTTCCTACCACTCCCTCAACTTCGAACTCCAACGCTCGCCTAATCCCGACCCTTTCATCCCTTCTCAACACATGTTCATACCATCGCAATCTCGATCTCCTTATCAATGTCACAATGTCCTCATTCAGTCCGATCATTGACATCAGCTCTGTACTACTCCTCCTATCCTTCACTTTAACCCCACACATCATCCTCACCATAGCTCTTTCAGCCCTCTGCAGTACACTTTCCTCCTCTCTCCTCAACACCCAAGTTTCACCACCATATACCATCGCTGCTCTCACACATGCTTTATATACCCTCCCTTTCATCTTCACTGACCATTTCTTTCCACACAATACCCCACCCAGCTCCCTAAATTTCATCCATCCTACACGAACTCTAGCCGTAACTGCGCTCAAACATCCTCCATCCGCGTTCAGCTTATCCCCTAAGTAAACAAAGCTTTCCACTCTTTCAATACCAACACTTAACCCCGTCCTTGCGTCCGTCCTATTAATCACACCATGAACACATTTCTTACATTTGAACGTGCCTTCCACCTTTTTCAGTGCCCCCTCACACCACTACATCTCTTATGCACCCATTTCTGACATCCTATACACAATACCGAGTTAGCCTTCACTCTCCTATCACATACCCCACAGGGGTCTATTTTACTTATCACTCGCACCCCACCTTCCCCACTCACCATTACCTTCGTCTTACCAATATTAACTTTTAACCCTTTCTTTTCAATAACACTTTTCCATCTGTCAAATTTTAACTGCAATTCTTCCATGCTATCAGCCACCAAGACTAAATCATCTGCATACAAAATCTCAAATAACAACCCCTCCATTATGTTTCCACACACAACATCAATCACAATTGCAAACAGAAACGGTGATAACACTGATCCTTGATGAATTGTAAATTAAAGTGAAGAATTCAATAAACAAAAAATACAATGTAATCAAAAGAACGAATGAATGAATGAATGAGTGAAAACATTTGAATGAGTGAATGAATGAGTGAAAACATTTGATTGGATGAATAAATGAATGAATGAACAAACGAACTTAATGATACATACATTCATTGTCGCTACCATTCCGACTTATCACTAATTTTAGGCATAATATTTGTTATTATTATCATCTTCCTCATCATAAATTATTTAAACAACTAATCAATCAATCAATCAGAAAACTGGCCAATCAGAAAACTGACCAAGCAGAAAACTGACCAATCAGATATTAACTGACCACACATCGACCTGGCACCATCAAAATACGACAAAAACTACAAATTCAAGTATTTTATTTTTTGAAAAATGAAACTATTTTATTAAAAGGTATTAGCACATTCATATATACACATTCATTTTAACAAATGCCAGACACCAACTTTATTTTCATTGTTAACTATCAATGTTTAATGAATAATAATAACAATAATAATAATAATAATAAAAACAATAATAACAATAATAATTAAAGCAAATAAAACAATACAATAGAAACAGCAATATATATATACAAATAGTCAATCAATGAACCACACGGGCCAATTCTGATTGGACGGCTCTGTCGACCAGCAGTTACGGTTTGTCCATTTGGATTATCTAATAACCACACTAACTACGCAATGATTGGACATCTCAACCAGCCAATCACCAGCCAGCCAATCACCACACTCGTCCTTCGTGATTGGCTAATCTCATACTCAATGATGGTTGGACAACTCAGTCAGCCAATCACCATGCAGCAAATCAGCCTATCACCACACTTGTCCATCCTGATTGGGCATCTTTACAACGCCCACTCCACCTCCAAGCCTCCTGTAGTTCATGCCCCCATAGATTTTCCAGCAGTTTTGTTCCAGATCGTAAACTTCGACAGTCTTCAAATAGGTCGTTCCATCGAACCCCCCTATGGCCATCAGCTGGCCGTTCACAACTGCCAGACCCACCTGGGCAAACAATTAACACGAGTAAGATTAGATATATAGATAGATGTCTAATAAATTATGACTTGACAACAAACAAGGGTGAAATCGCAGGATAAAAACCCGTAAAAATATTTCAACAAAAATTCTGCAGAAACGACTAAGAGAGAAGAATTGAGCTAAACATACCCCGCTACGTCGAGAAGTCATGGCGATTACAGGCTGCCAGGCATTGCCCTGGGGGTGGTAGCGTTCGGCACTGCTGAGTTCTGTGGCATCATCCCTGCCACCAACGGCGTAGATCATGTTCATGAAGACAGCGACACCCAGGTGCTTGCGCCGCGTCCCCATCGAGGTCACAGTGCACCAGCGATTCGTCCTCGGATCGTATCTTTCGACTTGGAACGAGTACATGAGTGATTGAATGAACGAATGAATGAATGATGACAACAAAACAACACAAAACAGCCAACTCTAATCCTAATTCTAACCGGTGTTAAGTGGGGCCGTGCCATCGCTACCTCCCACGGCGTAGAGAAATCCGTGTAGGACTGCAACTCCCACTCCCAATCTTCTCGTTCCCATACTGGACACCTTACTCCATCTGTTGCTTTGCGGATCATACCTGAAATTGCGATAAAGATGATGGCGGTAGTTGGTCGTTCAGTTAATTTATCCATTAAAAATGAATTGAGGATCAGAAAAATAATAGTTATTACGGACTGTGGAGATAACGTAAATTAAATAAGAAAAAAAAGTTGCTACCTTTCAACGAAATTCAAGCAGGACACTCCATCCTGCCCACCAACAGCGTACAGGTACCCATCCAGAACGGCCACGCCCACACTGGTTCTACAGGAGCTCGTCGGGGCCACATCGCTACTCCATAAATTCGTCTGTGGGTCGTACCTAAAATTAGGCAAAAGTGTCTCTATAGTTATCAGTTCGTACCTCTGTGGTCAGTCATGTATGATGGCAGGGAATGGAATAAAATAAAATCGTTTGAAAGAAAAAGAAAGAGAGAGAGAGAGAGAGAAACAAAAAGAGGGATAACCAACCTTTCGATGCTATTGAGGTAGGACTGACCATCGTGTCCCCCGACGGCATATAGAAGGTCAGTTAAGACGGCCACGCCGACACCACATCGGCGTTTACTCATCGGAGCCACCATTCTCCACTCCCCTGTCTGCGGGTCAAACTTCTCCACGCTCGATATTGCGTCGCCACTGCACCAACCACCAACTTTTTGAAGAGGATGACGACGATGATGAGGATGAAAATGATGAGAGCAACGATGAAAATAAAGATTGTAATATCTAAATAGAGCTTAATAAAAGACCAACACACGCTCATTGACACACACACAGGCACACACTAACAAACGTTCTGACTTACCTGCAAATAAAACCTCCCCACATCTGATTGGTTTCCTTGGCCTGGTGCGAGGTCCCTACATGCGTGCGTGCGTGTGTGCGTTATAAGTATCTATTAATTAATCATGTGATGTGTTCTATGCGTGCGTGCGTGCGTGAGTGAGTGCGTTATAAATTCCCATCAATACACACATGCAAATCACGTCATCAAGGTCCAAGATAAATACAAAAACCAACAGAAACACAAACATACATAGACAGACAGACAGAGAGACAGACCTGCATGTGTGGTCTTTCTTGTGGCAGCAGTAAATAATTTTTGGCCTCATCAACGAGATCTCGACAGACATCATCACTCTTTATTAGGAGATCAGAGCCGACGGTGCCCACCAAAAATTTAGGACTCATCAGAGGTAGACGAACGTGTTGGAGGACCTATCAATCAATCAATTAATTAGCAATTAATCAATTAATTAACCAACTAATCAGCCAGCCAACGAACTAATTAGCCAATCAATCCGTTGGTCAACGAATCAACCAACCAATGGCAGGTGCTGTCTTCTTTCAGGGACATTGAATCTAACCCAAGCCATGATTGCATTGAAAACGAGCTCCTCTGATTGGACGTTCAGTTCCTCACTGGAAATGATGTCGACCAATTGATTGACAGGCAGTAATAGGAACTCTTCACTCTCCATCACCTTGGGTTTTTAAATTTTATTCACTTATAAAATTATTTAAGTTTGTATGTTTTTTGATTGTGATATAATTGAAATAAAGATAAAAATAGTACGTAGGAAAAAAGTGAAAATGTTGAACGAAGATGAAACAAACAGCGGGGAAGTGTTGTTGTGTATATTTATCAGCTTTCCTAAGCAGGTCTCTGCAAGCGTGAGTATCTGCAAATGCCCTAATCCCTAAACAGTTTGTCGGGTCCAGTTGCTTTTGTAGGAAGTCGCAGCAGACATCTTGTATTTCGGCCAGTTGGAGTAAACAGGCGGCCGGCAGAAGTGTTTGCACGTTTGATTCTTCTATGACAATCGATGATGTGTAGCAAAAGTCAAGGAGAAGTTCCATGGCATTCTCATCGACATCTCTTATTGTCACCTGGGTTGTTGAGGCAGTGTTTATTTGTTTAGTTTGTAAATTTAAAAAAAAATAGTTTAGTTTTTTAAGATTGAGTTCATTTTTAAATAATATATATATATTTTTTTGTTTATCCCAATGTTGTCTATTATTCAAAAATGTGAAATAAAAAATTTTAATCAAATAAAAAATTACTTCTGTTTGTCGACTCTCAGCTAACTCGCCAGTGAACATAGCATGAAAGTAAGGACTGCAAGCCGACAAAATAACCCTATGACCAAAGATTTTTTTCTGGCCAACAATCAAGACAACATCGCATAATTCCCTGTTCTTTCTGAGCATACTAACAACCTCCAGAACGAATTTGGAATGCTTCTCTGATGTGTAAGGCATTCTGGTTGGGGAGGGCGTGCCCTCAAAGATGTCCATGGGGGCCACTCCCGACATGGTGCACGTCATGTTGATGACTAGGCTACTGTTTTTTCTTTGTGTGTGGGTTTTCTGAGAGAGTCGATGGGGAATATGACACCGAACAACTTGTGGCTGCTTTAGTTTAGGGAATTTATTCTGGTACTTAATTAGTAAATACTTGGACTTACTATCTTTGAAAATTTACTATTTGTTATTTCTTGGTATTTTAGTATTTTACAACATCAACAATTAAAAGCTTGGTGATAAATTGCAACTACTACATGTTTATTTAAAAAAACGTAACAATAAGAAATTATTATATATATTCTGTAACTGAAATTAGGCAAAATAGTTTGAACTTTCAATCCAACTCTAATTCTTTATATAATAATGACTGAATCACAGAATCAATCGGCCAGTATCAGTCAGTAAGTATCCTTTATCCTTCATGTTTATTGTTTATTTATTTATATTATCTTTTAAATAATTTAATTTTTAATTTAATAATGTGGCAACACCAGAAAAAGAAAAAGCAAACGAGATCGGCCGGCTAGTTATTTATTTATATTATATATTAAAAAAACCTCACCAACACTAATTTGAAATTTTTTTCTTACAAATAGGCCAGCGACATCAACAAAATGGAAAAAAAACAATCTGATTTTTGGATTTAATTTGGGAAAGAAGAAAACTCACTAAATGACTAAATCAGTTCATGGCAAAAAATGGCAAAAACTAACTAACTGTTGAACGGATGCACTGCGTTTAGTAGCGTAATATAATAAAATAATTTAATAACAGTAGATTGAGACAATAAAGAACAACACTAATTATAAGAATCTGCCTAAATAATAAAGTGTCAGAACTCCTAAAAATCAAACTGTATTGTTATTATTATTCTCATTTTAATCAGTGCTTATGACCAAAGCTCCTAAATGCACATTCTAAATGCATTTTCCATCTCACTATGTGTTGAAATCATCGATTTGTGTGGCGAATTTGAGTCAATTATCATATTTTTTCTGTTTGTGTGTGCTGAATTTATATCAGACAACTATTTAAGAGAGTTTTTAATTTACTTTTGTGATAATTTATGATAATTCGTCGCTAAAAACATGTACTTCCATTGAATTACGTTCATCTGTGTATCCGCTGCCTTATAGATCTTATAAAACTGGTCTTAAAATCTTCTTTAATTTCTTTTGTTAAATTAATATATTACTATTTCGTATGTGAAAGAGGATGTCCAAGTGTGATTACTGCTAATTACTGCCCTTTAAAATAATTGTCGATATTTATATAACCACTTATTTGATGTGCTATGAGGTTCAGTTCGAAAAAACTCTCAACAAAATGCTATTTTGGAGACTATTAACAAACAAAAAGATATTTTTTTTTATTATTTCAACACCGTTCTTTTAATTCCAACACACGAAAAAGCATATTTACAACAAAAATTAACTTTATTAAATGTAAAATGAATGAAAGGTTGAACAAATTTCGCCAAAAATATATCTTGAATATCTCAAAAATACACGATATTCGTATCTATAACTGTGCATTTTATCAAATAAATAGTTAAAAATGAGAAAAAATAGAAATATATAAAAAATCATTATCTTAGCGATCAATAAAACACGAATTTTTTTCAATTAAGACGAAAATTCCTAATTTTTTCAGATGTATCAGATTTGCCCAAACTGCCTCCAACAATGCTGGCAACTCTACTTACACTACAACTGTTGATGCTACTACAGTTACTACTACCAATTTTACTGTAGCCACTAATGTTGCCACTACTACTGCTACTACTGATGATACTACTATTACTAATTTTACTGCTAACGCTGCTACTTCTACTACAACCGCCAATGCCACCAATGATGCAAGACAAGCCGACAGCATTGGATTCAAATTCAGTATTGCAGTTAGTGTAACTCTCGCAGATTTCGGCAAAGTTGGTTAGGTAGTAGAGTAAAACTGATTTCTGTTTGAAAATCTCGTCTGACTCTTCTGCCATTTTGTCGTAGTCACTCGTCGCCTGGCCTGCGTTGATGGCCGGTTTCAAAAGTGTCGGTCCGAAAATGACCGCCATATTGTCAAGGGGCATTTTTGTAGCGCTGCTGTGCTTGGACATTCTGAATAAGATGTGGGGGGTTTAACGTTATTCATGCAAATATTTGACTATTTTGTTAAATTATTCCCCCAAAGGAAGAACCAACTTGATGAGGTGGTTCATAATGAAGAGAGCAGTCAGAGCGTTGCACGGTGGAAGCTTTTTAAATAGGGATTTGTACTTCTTATCCCTTTCAGTCGGGTCCGATATTTCTAAATAGCATGGTGAAAATGACAACGGAGAAGATGACGATAGCGATAATATGACACACATTCACACATCCACGTCACGCACGCACGCACACGCACACGCACACACACAAACACAGACACACACACACAGACACACAAACATCTAACCATCCATTTTCATATAATCGTTATAGTGTTCATCCCCGAACAAGGCTTCGGGCAGTTCTCTGAGGAAAAGTTTCAACAGACTCGTCACATCATTCACATCGGCTTTCTTTAGCAACAGTTCGGCGTGAACCATGCTGCCTGACAATAAATTGACCATAAATAATTATTATAATAATAATTATTCAGAAGATAATTATGATCATAATTAATAATAATTATAATTAATAATTACAACACCAGTGGCACTAACCACTGTCAATTGTATTTTTCAACTTGATTACGTCATTTTTGCAGCCGGATACTCTATAAATACCCAGTTCGTTGGTACCTGCATTCATTCATTCATTCATTCATTCATTCATTCATTCATTCATTCATTCATTTATTCATCATTCGTTCATTAAAACGAATGAATGACGATACCTCTGCGTTCTATTTCGGTTGCACATAATTCGACAATTTTCGGTATCAAAGTTTGTTCCCTTCTGTTGGCAATTTTTAATTTTTTCATTCACTCACTCACTCACTCACTCACTCATTCATTCAGTCATTTATTCATTCACTCATCCGTCAGTTTATCCACTAACGAAGTGATGGTTTGTAGGCTCTGTCCGAATGTGGCCCCATGGTGTACGGTCACCAGTCTTCTGTTCATCCTCTCAATGCTGCTGAACTTCAGCGTAACGCACAACTGCAACTGTTATTATGGTTATAATTATTGTTATAATAATAATAATAATAATTATAATAATTATTATTATTATTTCTTTTCTTTTAAAAAAATTTATAAATTATTTACATTTATTTATTTACACTCTTATACATTATTAATAATTTTCGATTAATTTCATTTTGATTTCATCTTTTTGGTCAATAAAAGATTGTTCCCATTGTTGTTGTTGTTGTTGTTGTTGTTAGTATTGTGTCGTTTTTGTTTAGTTGCAATGTTTCTGTTATTTCTAATATTGTTGTTGAAAATATTGCAAATAAACTAGCAAAAAAAACACGATTGAATGAAGGAACGAAAGAACATATAAATGAATGAAGGAGAGAACAAATGAGAAAACGAACCAAAAATAAATGAACGAATGAATGAATGAATGAATGAATGAATAAATGAATGAATAAATGAATGAATGAATTAATGAATGAATGAATGAATAAATGAATGAATGAATGAATGAATGAATGAATGAATGAACGATCTTTCATGAACAAACAACCTCCTTATTTAACGTGATGTTATTCTTTTTCAATTCATCCGACAACCACACTCGGTCAAGCTATAAAATAATAATAATTATTATATTTATTACTATAATTATAATAATTATTATCATTATTTTCTACCTCAAGAGCGCACATGCCGAGAAGTGATTCGATTGGGCCGTCTATTTTGTATGCGAAAATTCGCAGAGATTGCATACCCTCTGTGTCTATGTTGAAACTCTGAATGAGTGAATGGATGAATGAATGGATGAATGAATGAATGGATGGATGGATAAATAAATGAATGGATAAATGAATGAATGAATGAAAAAAAGAATCGTTACCTCATCCCATTGTGGTTCGATGCCAGAGGACACCTTAGTACGATTTTTCGTCGTAAAGTATCCCAGAAAGTCTGTTTCGATTAGGCAGGATACTTCTGAATAGCAGAAGGAAGGAATGTACAGATTAAATGAATGACCGAACGAATGAATGAACGAATGATTGACTGATTGAACAGCTGGATAGATTGATGGTTGTATGGACGGACAGATTAAAAATTTGTGAAGTAAGAAAGTCATTTGTGATCAGATTTAAAAGCCGGCAAATAAATTTATTCATTTAATGAATTTGTGATAATTGTATGAATGAATGAATGAATTAATTAATTAATTAATGAATAAATGAACAAAAAAACGAACGAAATAAATATATAAAAATGAATGAATGAAAAATGAAATCAATAAATACTGGTATGTTCTTTCAATCCATACAGCTGATGTATTATTATGTTTAAATTCCCTTTGGTTAACACCTGTGGGTCTGTATATATACATACATACATACGTGCATACATGCATGCATGCATACATACATGCATGCATACAAAACATCCTTACAAACAAACATACCTGTATTTGTTGACAATTTATTGATGGTCTGCTTAACCGGATAGCTCTCTTTTAGATACTAATATGAAAATTTGTCAAATTCGAGTTTTACATCTACATACACAGACACACACACATAAACACACATACACACACACAAACATACACACACACACACTAATATATACATACACATACATACATACGTACCTTGGATGTGTTTACTAGTTGGTTTAATGTACTTGTCGTGTATTTAACTGGAGCCGACAGTGTTTGAGTTTTATCTAAAATTGTATTGAATCCATCCATCTATCTATCCATCATTCATTCAATCGATCATTTTTTCATTTAACCATTCAATCGATCCAAACCTTTTTGTACGTAGAAATTAATCTCCTCAACCCAGCTATTCCTCTCGTGCTGAGAAGCGAACAGGAGTTGGTGGCACTTCTTATCGCGGAGATTGTGAATGGAGAGAGGGAGAGATGGTAATGAAAGTGAGAGCGAGATTTCCTGTGGACGAGAACGATGAAGCTACTACCGCTACTGCTACTAAGGCCACTACTGCTACTACCGTTACTACTTTTAAGATAACTTTTGATAATACTAATACTTCTACTATTACTGCTAATGTAATAACTGCTTCTACTACTACTACTGTAGTAGTTGAGCTACGTTTACTACTGCTGCTGCTGCTACTACTAGTAGTATCATAACTAGTATTATAAATAATAGTACTTCAAATAAAGAAACAGACTAACGAGTTTTTCAATTTTTTTCTGAAGTGCTTCGATCTTTCTGGACGTTGTAGACGCCTTGAATTGCGTGCACAAATATAAACATACATACACTACAAACACTCATACACATACACGTACACACACGTACACACATACATACATACATACATACATACATACATACATACATACAAAACGAAACGAAACGAAATTTTATTTGCTTCTCAAAATTGAAAATTAAAAGAAAGCAGGATGACCATAACAGAATTTATATAAAATTCATCTAGTATGGCCACCTAACCAAAAATGTTCTAAGTTCTAACAAAATGAACAGATGACAAAATGTAAGTGTTTTAGTACCATGGTTCATTGGTTAATTTAGAATAATGTTTGGTATCTATCCAGAAAAACACTAAATAGACATTGCATACATACACACATACACACATACATACATATATACATACATACATACATACATACATACATACATACATACATACATACATACATACATACATACATACATACATACATACATACATACATACATACATACATACATACATACATACATACATACACAGATCATTGTATAGAACATATAAGCCTACATTGGTCTCAGTGGTAGATTTGATTTCATTTTGTATCTGGGATTGTAGCTTTATGAGAGATTTTTGCAGGTCAATGAGATGATTTTGGCGCTTTACACTCATCTTAGAGTCCTCGTTCAATTGGCTAGCTTTATGATTGGTGTTAGAAATTAGTGGATTGACTGATCTAGTAAAAAAAGATGAATGAATGAAGGAAAGAATGACTGTATGGATGGATGAATATGTGAATGAATAACTATGAATAACTTTGTAATTAAACGCTTGAATCGTTAAGTGAATGATTGACTGCATGAATGAATGAACGAACAAATGAATGAACGAAGAAACGAGTAAATAAATGCATGAATGAATGAATGAATGAAGAAAAAAAGAAAGTATCGGAAAAATTGTGATAAGAAAAGAATACAAACATGTATTGACGACCATGATATCCGACAGGGGAACGAACCATTTTGTATCGTATGCCATCTGGTACCTGAAAAAATATTGGGCCGAAAATTATTTATTAACGCTAGACAATGAAATATAAATAGAATAATTCGACAATATATTAAAACAGACATATAAACAAACATACAAAAACCCACTCACTCACACGTACACACACGCACGCACACACACACACACATACCCGTTCGTAACCTTCTGCCTACAGCAGACGAGAACCTCTTTAAAGAGAAGCAGGCAGATGAGAATGTTGTTCTTCCCGCTTCTCTCAACCAAGACACTACGTTTCAAAATTACGCTTGCGGTGTCCGACTCGTTCTACATTCATCAAAAAAAGAAGAAGAAGAAGATGATGATGATGAAGAAGATGATGAAGATTATGTTGATGATGGAGAAGATGAAGATAATGATGAGGATAGCAAAATTCATAAATATGAATATGATTATAATGATGATGACACTGATTAAAACGTAGTAGTAGTAGTAGTAGTAGTAGTAGTAATAGCAGCAACAGCAGCAACAACAGCAACAGCAGCAGTAGATGGCAATGATGACGACAATGATTGCGATGATGATGATGAATAATCGTTATCATAACCTCATCAGTATTTGTCTGAACTTGAACGTGGTTAAGAAATCTATTGGCCATTTCTTTGATGGCTAGTAGGGGCTGGCGATCATCACTGTCCAGAGGCGTGGCGTCTAAAAGATCCTGGTAATGATGGTGATGATGACGATTGGGAGGATGATGATTGTGATGATTATAATGAGAATGATGATGATGATGATGACGTTGATAATGATGATGACGACGACGACAACGATGACCAAAAAAAAAAAAACCAAAATTATTTAATACTAACAAACCACATTGAAATGCTTTTCTGGAGTTGGAAGATCGGCTTGAACATTAACTCTAGAATAATAATAACGATGATAATAATAATAATAATTAATAATAAAAATTATTATTATTATCGCCATAATTATAACTATAATTATTTCAATGTTAATACATCCTTCCCATACCTTCTAACTTAATGTCAGCATGGCTCGTTAGGCAAACGTTCTACAAGTCATAAAATTATTTTATAATTATAAATAATAATAATTATTATTATTATGTTTATTATCATCATCATCATCTTTTTTATCATCATCATCTTTTTCATCATCATCATCTTTTTTATCATCATCATTATCGCCAACAATGTCATCATCATCATCACCATCGCCACCTTGGTGAGTTTTTTGAATTTGACTTCGTCCTTGCAAATAGTTTTCAAAATATTGACGATCTTTGGGTAGTTTGTGACGTAATCTTTGCCTATTTCTATGTCGAATTTTGCCTGTTATAATAATAATATTATTAATAATATTAATTATTATTATTATTATTGCTTTTGTTGTTGTTATTTATGGTCCTTCTTTCTTTGTTACTAAATGAAACTTGAAAAGAAACTCTATATAATTTTATAACTCTACAGAAACTTATAAAATATTCAAATCATCACCATCCCCGTCATCATCATCATTATCATGATTTTCATCATCATCATTCTCATCATCATCATCATCCTCATCAACATCATCATCATCATCATC